GAAATGACCTCTGAAGGTCACACACACACCGACCTCACACTCTGTTAGCTTGCCTGATTTGTCAGGGTTGTCATGGGCCTGTGTGGTGGTCCCTCGCCCCATACCTTCGCTTTTGTGGGCGGGCAGCACATCATTGTATATTCTGGCTGTTGCCAACAGCCCATGCCTCCGCTGTAGATTTTATTATTATTATTATTATTATTATTATTATTATTATTATTATCCATTCTATCCGCATCCATATTCGAGCTGTCAGTCCTGAGAGATTCTCGAAAACCACGCCATCACTGTACTTCATCTCGAACTCGTGACTGTGGAAAACACTCTGATTATTCGATAGTGTGAAGACAACGCTGGAGCACAAGTCCAGGCTGGTCTGCCCACCGGGACAGGACCTCGGGGCGACAATGGAAAAAATGAGCCCGAAAGTGGGCGACGCAAGAGGAGCCTAGAAAAAGGAGATGCTGCAGGCGGGCGACTCTGGACGTTTCGAGAGTGCCCTTCTACTAGTGTGTGGTCTGACAACTCTCAAAGGGGTTTCTCGAGAGTGCCAATCGAGAGTAAGTTGAGCGATGCACTATGCTCCGATGCACTACGCTCGACTTTTCGAGAGTTTAGTGTAGATGCGGCAAGGGACAACTGGGTCTCGCTGCACGACTCTTGACTCGTGAAAAAAAAAGCAAGAGTGTTTCAATAGCTGTCAGACTCTTGAAAAGGTCCAAAATGGGGTCATGGCTCCAATTACTCTAGAATGCCAAGCTCTTGAAACACACTTGCTGTCCAGTAGTGCTTTTCAAAAGCACTGAAGGACACGGCCAGCCTGGGGTGTCCGCCCAGACTTGAGGTGCGCTCTTGAAAGTAGGCGGCGTTCCAAGGGTTCTCATGAGCACCCTTAAAAAAAAAACACCATGTTGCAGGCTGGTGCTCTTGAAAATTCAAGAGCGCCTTACATGAGTCCGCTCTGACGGCTCTTGAAGAGCACTTTCAAGAGTGATTTTGAAGAGGCAGTGCAGCAACAGCAACTCGCGACAATTTCAAGAGTTGTGAGGTCGATTTCGACAGGCCAATTCATGAGTTAGTGGAGCAGTGCAGCGCTCTCGAAATTGCACGAGTCAAGAGTAGTGCAGCGAGGCCCACTGTGTGTACAGTACTGTTGTATACCTTTCTCGGCATTTTCGCTGACATCAAGTATAAAGTGTAGTAGCTGTTCTGATCAGTTTAATATCTGATCCTATGCTCTTGTTCCAGAATCCAAATTAACTTCAAAAAAAAAAAAAAAAAAAAAAAGAACAGAGTTGATCCGGTCCATTGGGCCAAAAAAGACAAAAACAAAAACCAGTGTGTGTAAAACAAAAAGAAAAAAACAGTGAATGTGTAAACACTGTTGGAGTATCCGTTCCTTTTTTTCCATTTCTTTTTGTTTTCAGAAAACGATCAGAATTTATATTGCCAAATTCAAAGTCGACGCCGGGGTCCTCACACTTCAACCCACCCAGAGTTATCCTGGCAGCATCAGCCAGTTCTGCTTAGGAGCACATTCTCTGCACACGCTGATTCAACACAATCTTATCACAAACAAACACACATAGGCGACTCTACCTCACCCCGCCTACTGCCCTGTTCTGACAGACCCCCTAAATCTGATGCTATGCGACCAGCTAACCACCTATGCTACTAACTACCCCACTTCCTTCCATCCCTAATTCACAGAGCCACAGACCTCGACCTCGTACGGCCTGACACCGGCCTCATTCGGCCGCGGTTAGGACCTACCTACCTTCCTCGGAACCTCGGGCACTCTCCACCCTCCGCCCCTGTCTGACCTCCTGCGGTCCAAACCCTGAACCGAGCAAGATACCCAGGTTCATAAACCAAAATTCCACAAGGCTTGAAAATTGAACTCCTTATGAGACTCTTCTCCAAATGGGCGAAATCCCTCGTCCATTTAGATAATTAACCAACACCAAGAAGACATGTCAAGGATCTGGGAACAGCTCACAATAAATCCATCCCAAAAGACAAGACAGCATCTCTCCTTTGGCTACAGTCAGCACTTGGTGTTACCGGTGGCCAGGTGGTTGGCAGAGAAGGGCATGAAGGAGGTTCAGGAATCCTGTGACTGCTGTAACTGGATCTGTGTTGAGAGATCGTCGCCGCCCTTTTTCTTCCAGCAAACTTCCGGACCTGGGTGCCTCCGATCCCACCCCCATCGGACGACAAAAATTCAAGTCCATCAGACGGTCCTCGCGGACCCGACCTGGATGCATAATGTGCTGTCCCTATGAGAGAGACTGTACACCACTTGTGGCACATCACTTGTGGCGGCCGTGCCCAAGGTCCAGGAAATGGTCAAGCTGATGTGATACCTACTGGGTTAACTTCTCAGGCAGAAGAGTTCACAGGAGAACGGTGGGTTCTGCTAGGCCATGTCCATGTCCCCGAGGCACTCCACCGGCCAAAGGTTCGGGATACGTGGCCCAAGTGGGGAGGGCGCGCATGATATGGGTTTAATTTGGAAGGACAAGAATGAGTGGAGATTCGACGGGAGGCTTGCCTGAGAAGCAGGCAGAAGGCATTCTCAGGGATCTGATCAGGAAAGAAATCAATGCAGACTGGCACGGGAAGGCAAAAAGGGGAAAATCCAGACAGGGAAGATCCTGGTTCGAAGAAACTCAGGTGAAAAGGGAGCGGTGAGGCAGCTGGCATACGTGACTACCGAGGGCAGGCTACAGATGGCAGTCTTGGCGAGAGGGGTAGGGATAGTCCCTGGGGTGGGAGAGGGTTGGGACAAAATTCTATTTCTACTACGTTGCCCAAATCTTTTCTTTTCCCCTGCCTATAAATTGTCCACATCACAGGAGCCCTGTGTGGCAAATGCAAAATTGGTCGTCGATCGCCCAATTCTTTTCCCTACACTGCAACAGGCCCCCTGCCCTTATGCCACTGGTTATTAACACATCAGTTCTGCAGTCCAATCAATAGGTTCTTCGACCCCTATTTATTGGACCACAAGAGCTGAAAACAGTGCCCCCTCGACCCCTATTTATTGGACCACAAGAGCTGAAAACAGTGCCCCCTCGACCCCTATTTATTGGACCAAAAGAGCTGACCCCTCCTCGTTGAACTGCCAACGCTTCTTCTCATTTCCTTTCTGATTTCCTTTGGGTAGCTAATGCCGCTTTTCTGCTCTTCTGCACCGTTTTCATGCTGGTCTCTTGTTCCTTCAAAGTCCCTTTTCGTTTCTCCCCGTTTCCTTTTCCCCCCTCTCCTCTCTGCCCGCCCTTTACCTCGTTTTCGTACTTCCACATATCCACTTAAGGGAAAGTCTTTTCGTAACGGATGACACTCAAAACCCTTATCCAGCAAAAAAAAAAAAAAAAAAAAAAAAAAAAAAAAGAAGCACAAACAGGCTACAAGTGCATGGCAAACCGCGATGATACCCTTAGGGCATATACTCACACTGGCACCCTTTTTTCCTATTTCTGGGGGGAATTGCGGCCAGATATAAACAGGTCCGGTCTTAAATGCGGTCAGATTCATTTAAGATAGCGCGCGTGTGAGTGAGCATAAGCCCTTACGCTGCCTTTTACTGTTTGCCACCCAAAACAAAAACGATAAACCAAACCCCTCTGCATAACAGGAAGCCAGTCTCTGCTCTCGATAGCCTGGGGGGGGGTTACAGGTTCCACCAGCCAAGAGAAGGATTGGATATTGAAGGCTGAATGTGGACGCGTTTGTGACCAAGTGCAGAAATCGGGATTGGACTTCTTTTCTGCATCTCTTACGCAAAAAACATGTCCAGATTCAGGAGCCGAATCCAACCAATCCTCTTTGCTATTCCAACCTCGCCCCTGGAGCATCAGGAAAACCTATGTTGCCTGCCTACCCTACCCTTCGGCCAGCCCACCAACAGCGTGTAGTTAGTTAATTGGTAAATGGTATGCTTTTCTTTTTTTTTCTTTTTTTTGGGGGGGGTGGGGTGGGGGGAGGGGAGGAGGGAGGGAATGTTATGCTTCTCAACACAGCGAGCAGAGTTCGACATACCAAGTAGATCAATCAACGTGTGTGCAAACACATGTGTAAACGCATCACGCATCACCTCTCGCCCGCTGTGGTCGTTGCGCTCCGTTGCTCTGCTTCCACGGTTGCCACCAAAGATGTGCACACTGCGTCCCTCGTCACAAACTAGGGCTAGGTCCGGGTAGCAAAGAGGATTGGATAGGATTCAGCGCCGGAATCTGGACGTGTATTACGCAGAGATGCAGATAAACAGGATTGCATAAGATTCAGCGCCGGAATCTGGACGTGTATTACGCAGAGATGCAGATAAACCAGATCACTCACGACACTCCTGTACCTCTCCACGACGACGTCCACATTCCAGCGTTCATTCCAATCCCCTTTGCTGCGAGTGGGACCTCGCCTCGGGCCCACAACAGACTGCACAAGTTCCCTCGGAGCAACGTACGTGGTCAACTCGATTCCCACTCGCTCAGAGTTAACAGACATTCCCTGTTCATCGTACGTGGTCAACTCGATTCCAGGGAGTAGTGGAGCGAATTCCCTGTTCCCTGTTCCCTGTCGTTTGTCCATACACATCCATGACACAGGGAACAGGGAATTCGCTCCACTACTCTCCACATGCATGCACAAACGACAAAACGATGACCCCCCCTCATTCATCCATGGGTCTCGCACCCCCACTCGCTCGCCGAAGGCCAAAAAACAATTGGTTGCAGAGTGCAGAACATGGCCGCACACACTCGCCAGCTGCATTTTCCAGCAGAGCGGAGCGGATCGAATGAGAGGGGTTGGGATCTTTGGCCAAAGCCCACCCACCGACCAACTTTGCTAAGTCCCCCGACAAAGACATTTCGTGGAGAGCGAGGGACCTCTTTGGCGCACACCACTTCGGTGACCTGACTGCCCATCATCACGACCTGGGGTGTGGACGTTCTTGGGACTTCAGAAGAACCCGCTTTCCTGTACGGATGTGACCGAAGTAAAGACCAGATTCATTCACAATGTGGATTGTGCGCCACTCCACCGAACTCGAACAGAGCTCTACGACCGGGAGGCTACGTCGGCAGTTACACGAACTTGGCCAGTGTGCTCGTCGTTGATTGGTCGTTGGGCGCTCAACACATACTGTAAGTTGGGACTGAGTGGTGCAGCGAACCCCCATGCCTCTTGTTTGAAACCAGCTTTGGCTAGCTCCCACGGAAAGGTAGCATATAGGACCAAAAACAGAAGGCACATTTGACAGCGCAAGTATGCCAGAGCTCCGTTCTTCAGTGAGGAACAGTCCACCAAACACGCACGATGATCAACCACGCGCAGCCACTGCTGAAGCCATTCAAGATGGGCGGGAAAATAGGTGGACATCGCAGGCAGAGACGGACAGAAAGAAGCACACACACAAGGGGTGAAGACACACACACACACACACACACACACACAGAGAGAGAGAGAGAGAGAGAGAGAGAGAGAGAGAGAGAGAGAGAGAGAGAGAGAGAGAGGATGTGGTCCTCGGAAAATGCCGATGTCAAGCCGACGGAATCGGAACGGCAACCTTTCAAGAAACACAGTTCTCCAACCAAGAATCAAGAATTATAAACGAGAATGGTCCAGAAGTAGTTCGAGATGCTCATTTAAGACAGACAGATCTTCACACCACTAGCTAAGAAGTCAGCGAAAGTGGCTGCGGTGCCACCAGAACGCCAGTGCATAGACGTCGTCACCAGTAAGCGGAGAGTCTGTGACATGCCACTACGAAAACAGGGGGCCCCTTAGCCTCGGCTGCTCCTAAAGGATGAAAGGGGGTGAAGAAAAGTGGTCAGGACGTGAAAACGCCAGCTCCTTTTCGGGGCCTTCTCAGACAGATCTACTCTTACACAATTACCACCAGCAGAGGGTAACAACCTTGCCCGTGGACTAATGCTCCACAACAATCAAAACACAAGGAGGCAGCAACATTCAGCCCCGGTCCAACTCAACCAACCCAGAAAACTCACCATCGCCTACGATGGTAGAAGGCAACTGTAAAACGTTACGTATCTACTTTGCGAACGCCTACGATCACAACCACAACAATTCTCTCTCTCTCTCTCTCTCTCTCTCTCTCTCTCTCTCTCTCTCTCTCTCTCTCTCTCTCTCTCTCTCTCTCTCNCACACACACACACACACACACACATACGGCATACCCACACACATTCTCGTCTCTATTTGCCGTTCGTGGCCCACAGACAACATACAACACAAATTAACAGAGCCAACAAAAATCTCAGAGCTTGAGATGAATGAAATTCCGTCCTAAATGATTGGTCGCCCCGCGCTCTCGCACTCAGCCCGCGACTCGCAAGGACGACAACATCTCTCTCTCTCGCATCACCGAGCCGATGACAGCAACAACGGCGTTACTGATTCTCCAGCAACAACACGTTTCGCATATCGCAGCATATCAGATGGTTGTTCTTGACTTGACGGGACAACCAGAGGTCCAGGGTCCAAAACACACTGTTAAGATGACTTATGAGTTCAGAAAAAGGAATAAGGGTTAAGCTGAAAGGAGTTTCAGGGGAGTGGGAACAGAACGTCAAGAGAAACCGAGCGCGAGCTGCGAGAGGAGGAAAGTATAGGCTCAGATCAGAGTCCGACACCTCTTTACTATTCATCTCACAAAGGGAGAGAGAGAACAGAAGAGGTCCTCAAGAGTAACGGAGCGGGGTATAACAGTCCAACAACGACGTCTTGGTGATTGTGCAGAAAGAAGGGTGGACAACAGGGGTAATAGTGATTCAAGGAACAGGGCCTCCTCCTCATCCATGTACTCAAGGTGGACAAGAGGGAGAGGGATCCTACGGCCGTGTGCTCAAGGGAAGCCTCACACGTTGAGAGAGGGCGGACAGGGTACCAGAGCAATTAGTGGCAGGAGGCAAGTGCACAACACCAGTGCCCAGAAGATCCTCCATCGAAACGCAGCAACCAGAGGGTGATTCCCATCAGCACCCACCACACAACGCGCGGAGCACCTCACAAGCAGAGCCTAAGCGTTGTGAGGGTGAAGGCGAAAGACAGGCCAAATGCAGAAAAGAGGGGGGGAGGGGGGGGGGGGGGGGGGGGGGGGGAGGGGGGGGGGGGGGGGGGGGGGGGGGGGGGGGGGGGGGGGGGGGGGGGGGGGGGGGGGGGGGGGGGGGTCCAATTGGATCTTTGTTTTTAATGATGATGCATTCCCCATTCCACGTCCCTTCTGCCCTCACACAATCAGAGGAGATAGATAGCTCGTAAATGAATGAGCCATCGGATCTTCTTCTAGTCATCAAATAGAGAGCGCGACCGCTTGCACACGGCTCCTTCCCTCTAGGTTGCATGCTGGGACACCTTTCCTCTCATAAATCCTCTTTCCCGCCAAAACCCGGAAATCCTCTTTCCCGCCAAAAACCGGATTCATGGAAGAAGACAGCAAAATCAGCACTCCATTCTTCTCCCTCCTCTCCTCCACGACACCCATCTCTACTATGTCCGCATCATCGACTTAACCATCGCCCTTACAATCCTTCAACCTTCCCTTCTTTGTTTGTTCCGCAATTGATTGATTGATTGATCGATCGACATTCGCATTCGACCGCCAAAACTCTCTTTCAACGGACAAAACAGCAACTGCCATGGCCATCCTTCAAGTCGACACCCTCCTCCTTTCAACATACAAAAGCTAACACAGAGCTTCGCTCATGTCCTTCCAGGCGAGAACCGAAAGAACCCTTCCGACCATTTTTTGCTTCAACCCACAAACTACTTTGTTTTCAAGCAACGAAGCAATGAACCCCTTCCCCATTTCGTTTAACCGACAACCAACGACGCCCCGTACCTTCCCACGCTCCTTCGCAACGACCAAGAAATAGCGTGGGCTTAGCTAAATCAATCGTTCTTTCTGGTTCTGGGCTTAGCTAAATCAATCGTTCTTTCTGGTTCTGGGCTTAGCTAAATCAATCGTTCTTTCTGTTTCTGGGCTTAAGTAAATCAATCGTTCTTTCTGCTTCTCCGTGAGCACGACAAGCACTGGCCAGAACAGTGAGAGAGAGAGAGAGAGAGAGAGAGAGAGAGAGAGAGAGAGAGAGAGAGAGAGAGAGAGAAGGGAGCGTCGTACTCGCTCAAGACAACTTGAAAGCGCTCCCTCAACATTCACATATCAGGAGATATATCCTGGTTGCGGGTAAAGAGGTACTTGAGCATGGGCACAAGACCGACAAGTGCAATCTGCAGCAACTCGTTCGAGCTCGTCCTGATGGATATTTGCCCCTGTCCACGGCTGTTCAGGTTAGCTCTGCCGACCATCATTGCCTTGCCCCATACGAACTGCGTCTGCAAATTCCCTCCTAGCGCCACGTCACCTCTCCAATCCATCATCGACAAGCCGATTGTCGTCCTCGTGGGATCCTCCGGATTGGACCTCGTGATGGTCACCTCCATGTTTCCCCCATAGGCAACGTCTCCTCTCCCCCTCACAAACGTCCCAGGATCTCCTCCTGTGATCGCACCGCCACTCATAACCAACTTCAGCCTCTTCCCCACTTTGAGTCTATCCTCCAGCTTCAAGCCACCTGCCATGGACCCACCCACCATGCTCATGGATAACCCTCCCACAGTTTTATTGTTCTTGAGGTTCTTGAATCGCGTTTCGCTCCGGAGGGTGAAGGCGAGATCCTTGCCAACCGTCTGCACGTCGAAGCCGCTAGTGGTCACCCTCCACTCATCGTGAGGAATGGAGCCCTCCATCTCCAGTGTCAGATTCGCGTCCTTCTTGTCTTTGGTAATCTGGCCGCTGATGTTGGCTGGGATTCTCTTTCTGACCATGAATGCCTTATCGAGGCTGAAACCGTCGATCCCGCTATCGTGATCCCAACCGTGGTTTTCAACGATAGGCCTGACAAGCCACTGACTGGCGGACTCCATGAACCTATAGCGATGCGCGGGGTTGTCGCTGTCGAAAGAGGGGGGCAGGGCGGGGTCAGGCGCTGGAACGGCCACCTGTTTCGGCTTGTTCTCTTCGTCGTCTTCTTCAGCTGCCATAGCCTCCATCTCCTTCTTGCGGTTCTCCTTCGCCTCCCTTCTTCGCCGTCTTTCCGCCCTCCGTCTCGACCGCTCCACCTTCCTTTCCTTTCCCTCCCCCCTCTCCTCCTCGGCCTCATCTCCTCCCTCCTCCTCCTCCTCCGCCTCCCCCACCTGATTTCCCGTCTCCTGTTCCATTTCCGACTCTTCATCCGAAGAGGACGACGACCCAGACTCCGACTCTTCGTCCGACCTCTCCGCATCCTCGTATGGCGATCTCCGCGGCGGTCGCGACGTGATCAGCGAAGACAGTAGGAACGGCAGCGGCGGCACCTTCGGCCTGGCGCCGAACCCGCGCCCCCCTCCCCCTCCTCCAAATCCGCCCCCGCCCCCTCCTCCTCCCAGCGACCTTCCTGTGGAGCTGCTCTCTTGCAGGTTCAGCAGCGCGTTCGCCTCCGCCAAGATCTTGGACGCGAAACATAGCAGCAGGAGGTGCGGTTTCCACACCTGCCCGTTGGGCAGAACCTTCTGTCCGGCGCGATTCGTGCGGCAATTGGGATGGTTTTCCACCAGTGCAACGGGGTTCATCAGGCGCATGTCGCCCGCCACCTGCCGGATGGTCTGCTGAACGACGTGCGACCTCTGCGCGACGTACATCTCGTAGCTGATCGGCTGGCCGTTGCTACCTTCGGGAGGCGCCGCCGAAGCGTGGGTGAGAACGACGATAGCATTGAACCAAACGGAAGGACCGAAGGTGTCGGTGATCGTCTTCAGCAGCGGCAAGTCGCCGTAATCTCTGCTCTGCATATCCAACCTGTCAACGTACAGGACGATATCCGGGGAACGCTTTTTCACAAACCTCTTGACCGACGCCATGACTTGCTCATTCTTCCTCTGATCCATCATCGACGGCTGCAAAGCTGGGGTATCTATCACCCTGACCTGAATGCCATGCACGGTGCCGACCACCTCCCTCACGGTCTTCGTTTCGGGCAGAAACGCATTCGCGGAGCAGAGGGGCTGGTCGAAGATGGAGTTGATGGTGGCGCTTTTCCCAACGCCCGTCTTCCCCAGCAACATGATAGTGCAGGTGAAATCCAGGTCCGAGTCCGCACCGGCGGCGGCCTCCTGCTCCTCGGCTATGGCAGCCGCGCGGTCGAACGCGAACACGCTACCCCTGGCAAGGCTTCGCCCTGCCCTCAGCTGCTCCGCCAGCTCAAGCCTGTACAGAACCTGTGCGACAACGTTATCCCGCGCGCTTCTTCCCAGCCTCTGCGCGACACGCAGCAGCTTCACCCGAATGTTCTGAAGTTTCTCCCGCTTCTCGCGGAACTGATCGGTCGGGTCCTCCGCGGCTGCCCCTGCCCCCGTCTGCGCCGGCTGAGCGGCCGTCCCGCTGAGGACAGATCTCGCAGGATTGGCAGCAGCAGCTCCCGCCGCTCCCCCTCCTGAACGACCGCCCGCTGATCCGCCTCCTCCCCCTACCAGGGAAGACGCCGACGCTGCCCTCGTGGCTGGCTCCAGAGCTGGCGCCCTCGAGTCAGCGCCACCAGCAGTACCTCCCGTCCCGCTTCCGCCAGGGTTGGCCATTTGCGCGGGATCGGCCGCACGTGTCGGTCCCGCGGAGCTGCTCCCCCCACTCAACGCAGGATTGTTGTTGCTGCCGTTTCCATTCGCGGCCACCGCCACACCTGCCCCTTCCAACCCCCCCGCCAATCCTGCCGCCGAGCGCGGGATACTCATTAGCGGATTGAATGCCGGAGCCCTGGCTGGCGCCTCCTCATCTTCTACCTCCTCGTCATCCACCTCCTCGACTTCCTCTTCGTCATCGTCCTCATCGTCCACGTCATCGTCCTCATCCACGTCATCGTCCTCGTCATCCCATTCAGCCACGTCATCATCCTCATCACCGATCGGATCATCGCCCTGCATCAACGTCGCATCCACCATCCCGTTGGTTGTCGGGAAAGAGGCGGCGGCCATGCCTGTTCGATCTCCGACAGCCGCGGAAGGAGGAGCCTCTCGAGGCGCAGCCACAGCCTGCTGCTCATATCCCTCGTTCTTCTGCTCCCCCACGGTGTTCGTTCCTGCGATGTCAGTCAGTCCCACTAGCGCATTGACGGGGGACTCGGCCGGCGACCGCGGCAATCCAGCATCAGTAGCCGCCGCCGCAGCAAAAGCGGTCGGCGGCGGAGGAGGACCAGCGATGCTCTCTTCCTGCGCAACTCGCACAGGCAATCCTGAGGCCGAAGCAAGCGCTCTCTGCACCTCCATTTCCTCCTCCGTCTCGTCCTCCAACTCGTCGTCGTCCTCCCCGTCCGTTTCGTCGGCGGGGCCGAAGTACGCAGGTGCTGCTGCCGCCGCCGCCGCCTCGCCCACGGCGTCTTCTGGAGTCGCACCTGTGTCAGTCATCCCCGACAGCAGTCCCTTCTGCTGCTCAGCAGTTAGGGCAGCGGCGTCTCCTGCCTGCCTGGCCACCACCACCCTCTCATCCGTTACTCCTCTAGACATCACTTCCGGTTCGCCCTCCGCCTCTAGTAGCTCCTCCTCCTCGTCGTCCGCCGTCAATGGCGCTCGGATAGACAGTCCGTCGTCGCGCGCCGGGAAAGAACCTGAAGGTGTGAGCGACACCCCAGGGGACCCTCCTGTGCTGCCCCCCGGCATAGGCGACAACCCGCCTTCCGCAGCAGAGTTAAGCTCTCTAACGACGGGCAGCAACGCCTCCACGATGGAGTTTATTTCCGGACTATCCGGGTCAAGCTGATTGGCTATAGCAAGTTGAGCGACCCTGTTCCCAAACTGCTGCTCATCCACGCCCTGCAGAATGCGAGGGTCCACAGAGGACTTTCCCGAGGCTAGCTCGTTCAGTCTCATCAATGCTGAATGTGCTGCAAGACCGACGATGTCCGACTCGTCGCTCCCGAGCTGAAGGCTCAGGGCGGTGTCCACGGACGAAATAGCCGGCGAAGATGATAGAAGCGGCGAGCGTACGGCCGCATTCCCGTCTTCGTCGCCGCCACCACTGGCGGCGCTGCCACCCGCGGGATTACTGCCCACGGCCAGTTGTGACGACAACGCCAAATCGGTCCCCTCCACGTCGGATGCGCTGCCTGGTGGGGTCGTGCCCGCAGGCTCAGCAAGCCCCAAAGAGGGTTGCCGGACGAACGCCACGACCTGATCATCGTCCTCCTCCTCATCATCTACGGTGACGGGCGCCCTAATCCGAGGCTGAAACTGTTCCTCGGTTCCAGCCGAACCGGCGGCAACAACCTCCAGGCCCGAGGACACCGCCTGGTCCACATTCGCAACAGAGGTTGCACCACCGCTACTGGAATTCAGGGTGGGCTGCTTGGATCCGCCACTCGGCGCAAGGGACCCGATGGCTGCAAGCCCTATCCCTGTTGCCGTCGGAGCTGACGCAGCAGCACCAGCAGCCGCCGTCCGCGCGGGGCCATCCCCGCCGCCGCTGGCGCTATCAATAACCCCCTGCGTGGCCACCGTCACCCCCCCATTTCCCGGTGGTCCCGCAGTCGCCTGCGTGGAACTTCCGGGGCCCGGCATGCCCTCCCCAAGGTCCGGCAGTTTTGGAACCGGCACAACGGCGCCGTCCGGTACCATCATCGTCGGCGTGGTGGTGGTGGTGGTGGCCTTCGGAAGTGACGGGGCGCTGGCGGCCGGTGAATCGACCGAGGTCGCGGACGGGAATTTCCCCACACTATCCGCGGCTATGGCGGAAACACTGTTCATCGGAGGAGCGACTTCCGCGATGTAACCGTTGCTGGGCGGGTCGTCCATCACCGGGAGCGCCGTGCGCGAGCGGCTGGCGGGTGGGAACGACCGAAGTATGTGGGTTGCTGCAGTCGCTCAGCCCAGCGTCGCGGAGAACACCGCACTGACACAAGAGTGAACCCCCGGCATTCACCCCGACAAGCACCAACTTTGCAAACCACGTAGCGGAGGAGAAGGAGGAGGAGGGGACGAAAAGGATGGGGCGAAGGGGGGAGCAGGAAAGAAGGGGGGAGAAAGTTGAGGAAAGCAAGCTAGGCTGCAAAATGACACCGGGACTGACCGCGCCCCGATGGAAATGTTTCTGTGTGCGTCTGTGTGCGTCTGTGTGCGTCTGTCTGTGTCTGTGTGTCTGTGTGTCTGTGTCCGTGTATGTGTGTGTGTGTCTGTGTGTGTGTGTGTGTGTGTGTGTGTGTGTGCGTGTCTGCGCGTACATGTGCGAGGGTTCTTGCAGCCCTGTTCGTCTTTCTGTTCGCTTACTTTAAAGGCGCCACCGTGGCCAAGCGCTCGCATCTGCTATAATGCCCTCTCCTCTCTGTCTCTGTCTGCTGCCGCTTTCATCCAGATCCAATCAGCCTCCTCGACTCTGGAGGGGCACCACGGTTCTCTTCCTCGGTCTTGAGATCTCATCGCATGGCAATAGACTCCCTCACCTACCCAGCGAGGGAAGTAAGGAACCACAACAGTGCATGTGACTACGGTAGGCGTGACAACTCCGACACTACTGGTCCGCTCCGGCTTGGTTGCCGCACCGAAAGGAGGCACTTTGCGTAGCAGACCCGCGGCGACTCCCACTCAACTCAACCTGCAGGAGAGGGTGCAGCCACACGCCCCTGCACATCAGACCCCTCCGTCTCCTTCCACAACATGGTGGACGACACCCTCCATCCCGACTTCGCACTCACTTCGATCCACCTCGCGACAGTAAAGTCCGGACTCAAGACTGGCGCCCTCGCGCGCGAGCGCCAGCACCCCAATGCTTTATCCGCCTGCAGCCTCGCTGCGATAGAGAGGTGTGCAGAGTGCGTGTGGATGGGCTACTCATCTCATTCCTCATGTGATGTTATGAGGCTGCTGAAGATGATCCACAGCGTGCTCCACGCTCCTCCGCTTCTCGAGTTCCCCGTGGTTCGGCGGAAAACCGCCGGCTTTGGCGGCTCCAGCGGTCCGAACACAGCTGGGCAGGAGAAACAGCGGTGTCCTCTTCGCCGGCGCCAGGGCCAGGTTCGACCGGCCTAGAATTCTCTGCGCTCCACCGTGGCCGTCGATCTCCACTCTCATGGACGCACATTATCCACTCATCTTCCTGTGTGGGACCACCACCGCCCCCCACCCTCAGGGCATCCAAACTGGACTTTCGCGACTGCATCTGACGCTAACTGAGTTCAAATGCATACCCCGACGACGAACCAGTTCTATGCTGTACCGGATACGCACCGTCGATTCCACACATATGCGGCCGCCGGATGTGAAGCACGTTTGATGTTCGTGCGGCGCTTTTGGGCCCCCCCCCAACCCCCCTCCCCGCCCCCCCTCCCCCTCCTTTTTTTTTGTTTTTTTCCGGCGACGAGCGGCACTTTTACAGTTTTCTATCATGGTGGCGAGGCACTCCTTGCGCGTTCGTTGCCACTGCCTCCCCCTGTGCGGTTGTTCTTCGCACAATTGCGTGTGCGCTTCCATACATTTCACCGGCTTCCGCACACAGTTGCGTCATGTCGATGTCGAACTTTCAACGACATGCCTTTCCCGCAGTTCCAGTGAAACAATTTCCCCGAATAGAGCCCATAGGCTGCGCCAGACATGCACCACGTCACACACCAGCACAAGGACTTCGCTGCCTCAACGCTGTGGCCGCAAGTGCTGCAATGTGTGCCTTCCGGCGCATTTGCAACAACCCTGCGTGTACCTGTAAGAACTCGGAGAGAAAACCGCCGCGAACGTTATCCACCGCATAGCATGGTGAACCACTCCGGTGTATCACACCAGTGAACAACATAAAAACACCGGCTTTTGTTTTCAATTTTTTTTCTTTTTTTTGAAAAAAAAAAAAAAAAAAAAAACACCGGCTTCTATCTGATCAGTGGGCTGAGAATGGGCTTCTATCTGATTAGTGTGCCTATGCTCACAGAACCACTCTGGTGCACGTGTATCTGACAGTAATGACATTGGGCATCGCCACACCACTCTCGACATGTGCAAAATGAGGATGAACTTCCCGCTACAAGATTGCTAGATGCACCCGCCAAATTTTTGTCTTTTTCACATTTCGAGAGTGGTGTGGCGAGCCCCATTGAAACACAGCGTCAAAAAAAAAAAAAAAAAAAAAAAAAAAAAAAAAAAAAAAAAAAAAAAAAAAAAAAAAAAAAAAAAAAAAAAGAAAAGAAAAGAAAAGAAAACAAAAGAAACACAGCGTCACAGCTGAACGAACATGGTGAACCACTCCGGTGTATCACACCAGTGAACAACATAAAATAAAAACACCGGCTTCTATCTGATCTGTGGGCTGAGAATGGAAGACTCCGGTTAGTGTGCCTATGCTCACAGAACCACTCCGGCGCATGTGTATCTGGCGGTAATGGCATTTTTTTTTTGAAACACAGCTTCACAGCTGAACGAACCTACTCGTGTGTTCGGCCCAGATGTTGTCTGGCTTTCTTTTTTTTCTTTTTCCTTTTTTTTTGGAGTCTGGCTTTCTAAGATGAATTCTCCCTACCGAGTAGAAATCCGCAGAAAAGAAGATGAAAGGAGGTATTGAGATGAAAGCAAAGACAGTGGCAGGTGGTGGATGGGGGGTGGTCTCCATTGCAGTTGTGGATTTGTACGTGTTGATATTTCGTATTGAGGCATGCGGCATTTTCAAGGGAAGAAGGGTGACTTTGTCTTTTTGAACCGTTTTTAATCGGTTTTGCTTAAAAAAAAAAAAAAGCAAAGACAGTCAGAGAAGCAATGATCACGAAAAGGGGCGGAATGTCTTTCGGGACATCCGTTAAAATTGGAACGAATCACAGAGAGAGAGAGAAGATTAGCACGGCCCCTATGCAAGGATGACATGCATAAATTGAGAAACGGTCCAAAAAAAAAAAAAGGGGGGGGGCGGAAGACCCCACACACCGCCCAAAAGCTGAGGGTGGGCGGGACGGCTTCTCCAGATCAGGCGATAAGAAAAGATCTCGAGAGGATGGGATGGGAAGGTAAGAAGCCTCGTTCCCTCAGGACGACCATGGTTGACCGCTCCTGGCAATCAATGTGTGCCTAGTAACCGGCCTCTACAACACATTTAGAAAACAAAAAAAACAAAAAAAAAACAAAAAAAGATCTCCTCCCTGGATGTTATCTGCTCTCGGTCTGATGTGATGCAGGTTCGGCTATGACTGCCGCTGCGCACACCCTGGGAGGGCCTGCCTGAGGGATTGCTCAACCTGCGGCCTATTGTCCACCGGGTCGCGGGATCTCCGTCGTGGGATCTCCGTGCTGGGGTGGGGTCAAGTGCTTAGGTTTGAGTCCTGGGGCTTTACTTTCACCCCAGCCCACTTAGCCTTATGGTTAGGTGTTAGCCTGCTAAGCCGTTGGTCGTGTGTTCGAGTCTCGTTTTCGTCACACGTCACAGCTCCCATAGTATATACAGTCGCAGCTCCAGGTGCTAGCCCCATGCAGACGAGTGAGTGATCCCATGCTTGATGGTCGGGAAGTCCTATCTGTCCCAAACTCAAGTCCTTGATTCCTCCTCAACCGTGCGTCAACGGTGACACATGCAGACGCTGGACCCGGTTTCCAGCACAAGCCTAAACTGGGTACTGGCCCCAGCTCATTCATCCGGGTTGTTTGTTGAGGGATTCCGGCCTCATATTATTACTTTTTCTTTTTTTTAACTAAGCTATAGTCTTCTCTCAATTTCATCTTTTCACTACAATCTACCTACAGCCGGTTTCAGGGCGAAGAGTTTCCCCCTCTCTCCCATTGCCTGCTCAGTCAATCCCCTGGATCTCAGGCTCAGGGTAATCAGTGCTGGCAGGAACCTTACACAATCCTGTTTGTTACTTTCCAAATTCATTTTGCATATGGGACCCTGGATCCGCTTTCCAGCAGGTGCTGCTCCCCACCAATAGATGGAGCCGCTCCCTAGGTGCTAGTGGTGTCTGCTCTTATCAGCACCACTAATACTGGCCGGGGCGTTATTTAAAAAAAAAAAAAAAAAAAAAAAAAAAAAAAAAAAAAAACTCCTAAGCCTCTACAGGGGACCCCTGCAAGCATAGCTACCTCTCACAATTCAGGGGATGCATGTTGCCCCCCACCCTAATCGGAGGTGGTCAGGGAGTAGGGTGGGGCCGCCGGTTGCAGGGGCCAGCTGACACAAAGACCAAGCATTTTGCCAATAGCTTTGCTTTCCATCTACTTCCGGACCGCCCATCGAGTAGCAGCAGTGGCTATGGCCAGCACTCTCCCACACACCACACACAACCCACTCAGTGACAGGCTCACATTCGCACCCGTGTTGGTCATAGACCCTACTAATGCCGATGAGGGGTATCAAGCGGACTATCACGGTTCATTGGCACTAAGAGCGCTGCAGGCAGTCATGGGGCATGAACCCACAACCTCCTGAGCGTCACTTGCGTGCCTGACCAACTGAGCAAGGCGGCTGGATCTCATATTAGTACTTAAAAAAAAAAAAAAAAAAAAAAAAAAAAAAAAAAAAACAGTACTTTCATATTACTCACTTCAAGAAACGGGGCCGGGGACCCCACAATTCAACCCGGTAGAATAGTGACAGCTTCAGAGGGAGGACAATTAACTAGGTACAGCTCCGGTCCCATGTGGACCTCTGACCTGAAGACCCCTCTCTGAGTAAAAGGAAAATAGCCCTCACGGCCGATAAAACCACACAAAGCGGAAAACAAAAAAAAAAACAATAAGACAGGAAGCTACTGCCTACTTCCACCAGGCCTGCCTACTCTGTCAGCCAGATGGGCAGGGAGGACCCTGCTTCCTAAATAAAAGGTTTCCACACGGCCTTAAACCAAGCAAACCATAAAAAGTATCTTCACGCTTCTTTTTTTTTGGGGAATTCTTCCCTTCTATATTCTTCTCTCAACTTCTGTTTTTGCCTTTCACTACCTACCTACTCCTAAGGCTATCTATAGGGGACCCCTGCAAGCATAGCTACCTCTCACTGTGAAGGGGATATTGCATGTTGCCCCTTGCCCTAGTGGTTAAGGGTGTAGGGTTTCCTGTACTTCTAATCTCTATTTCCTCACTGCTCCTCTATTGCTCTGCTGTTCCACTGGTCTACTGTTTCCACCTAACTTGGTGGTATACACACTCCCTCCTGGTGGAGACAGGCATATTATTACTTTAATGAGATCTACAAGCTCATTTAAAATAATAATAATAATAATAATAATAATAATAATAATAATAATAATAATAATAATAATAATAATAATAATAATCTGCAAGCTCAGAACTGCAATTTGAAACTGTATCTTGGCCCATAGTGCAATTATAGCTCATTTTTGTGACTCCCGTGTAGAGTCTCCAATAAAATAATTAAAAAAAAATCAACCGTGACACTAACAGATTAGTAATTTCTTGAAACCCCGACCTCATATCCAGTCCATAGATGTAGATGAGATGCTGAGAGGTGTGCATGCCAAGCATTTTCTCACCCAAACCCTTCCATGGACAGGGCATCACCAGATGTGAAGCGTTGAAGGCTGGCCTGTGTCCAACTGAGGATGCTGAAAACCACCATGTCATTCATTCTGGCCACCAACCCGAATGTCCCAAAGCAGGACCAGCGTAGTGGGTCATTTTTGGACACTTGCTAGCCAATACAAACCCACAAAAAAAAAAAAAAAAAAAAAAAAAAAAAAAAAAAAGGAGGTCCTGCGATG